AATAACTGAAGATGTCATTTTCATGGCAGGGAGCTCCACAGAAGCGCCTGGCCAGCACAGACAACCAGAGGAAGCTATTTGCTGACAAATGGGATTTCGTGTTGGGCTTGAGCAACATTAACTGTGGGGTTTTACTGGCTGAAGGGGCGCAATATCATGCTGGTTTTCTTCTCTATGCCTCTCTGGCAGAGTGGATAACGTTCCAAGGAGCAAAAAAAAAAAAAAATTGGTCATGCAGAGGTACTGTTAAACAGATGGCAGGAGACCAGTGAAGAGTGGCACTGGACAGCAGATGGAGAACAGATCATGCAAAAACTAGAACACCATTTGTCCTAACACTGTTCGTGTTCACACACACACTTGATTAATATGTTCTATGGTCATCATGTGTAGTGTTTTGAGGAAGATTAAAAACTCTGTGGATTTGGTAATTAAACAAATGGACAGTAGTTAAGAGTAGATAATAGAATTAATTTTTTTCTTAACTCTGAGGTGATGACTTAGGATGTATTTAGGGCCCATCTAACCATTCACCCAAGCTTTAAAACCGACAATAACGCTTTCATCAATTTCATCATCATCATGTTAATCATAAATCAATAATCAATAAATGTTGCAGAATAGTGGTTTAAATGTAATCCATTAGGGGACAATCTTGTACAAAAAAGGACTCTAAACTCTGAAACTTGTAGAGGTTGCAGTATCCAAGAAAGGAAATCTAAATTTGTTTCCTCTACCATTTTGAAGGAGTTTTTAATTTCACAGGAAATATCCTCTTTAGAATTATAAAAACACATTTTCTCATTAAATGTCATTAATTAAATTTCATTCGATTTCTTAAGTAACCAGTTGTTTATGTTTCCTTGTCTTATTGAGACAAACTTTTATTCAAAGCTGATATAAAGGCTTACAAGAACATTGTGTTGTCTAAATTTAAAAAAATGCTGATGATAGCTCAAAGACTTTTGAATATTACCACACAGCATGTCTATGAGAATCAGTTTTAAGGGTTTTAAGGGTTTTAAGGGTCTTAGAATACCAAATGAGTACATTTACACTTGTTATTACCCCAAACTGCTGTTCTTTTTATGCTTGAAGACTATCTCCTAGATTGCACAAAGAATAGAGAACTGTTTCAAACTTTCAAAACAAAAGGGTGTGCCATGTTACAATGACTGCAGCCGGTGCAGAATACTTAGCAAATCTTAACCAAACAAGTACAAATAGACTGTGATATCCCTTGAGGCAAAAAAAATTGAATAGATAAAAATGCTAATATCTATAGAATAAATCATATATGAAATTATTTGTGGATGTCTAATCGCATAGAGGTATAAATGTAAAGCAAACTTTGAGCAGAGACACACACAGACAAAGAGATGATGATCCTGTTTCACTCTCAAACAACAACATCCCATGAGGTAAGCGAGGCGTAGCACCCGTTTTCTAGAACTGTGCAATTTCAGGTAAAAAGAGTATGATGTGGGGGAAAATGTGACTTGGGGGGTCTTTGAATAAAAAAAATACCATCCTGAGAGTTGTTGTGGGAGAGGATGAACGAGAGTGTAGGTGGGGAAGTGGGGGCTTTGAAACCACAGCAGGTAGACAACAATGACAGGTTTTACCTCCCCTGCTCTTACAGTATGGACCTGACATCCTGTCTGCTGACTTGCAATGAAACGCAGCAGCACAGAGAGACGAGCAGACGCAGACTCCTGAGCGGGCCGGAGGCTCCACGCTTTCTTCCGAGGACTATATATTGAGTACACCCGAGGTAAGGGGCAGTATTTGAAATCCAGGTCAATGAAAGTGACAGGATGTTCAAAAGTCAAATAGATGTGGGACAAACCCTGGTGTTTTGTCTTATTATTAGACAGAGAATAGGTTACATGTGAATATCTGAGATACTGAATGTCTCAAAGTGCTACGAATGTCTCATCATTTTAACAGAGCTTTAGCAGATAAAGGAAAGACACTTCTTCTTATTTTATAGGGACAATGATTTTTGAATAGGCCAAGATTAACACAATAAATATAATGTAGATGAAAATTATTTTTCTAACTCATTAGCCAACGTTGTATTTTCAGTCATATGAGTACATATCAAACTCATTTTTTACTTCAAATTATGTTTTTTAACCATCATATTTTCACAAATTCACTGCATCTCTTTCTCTGAACGTTGAACTCGATCCTTTTCTCGATTAATGATTCTGTTAGACCTCTCCTCATTGTCTTAGTGTTGTTGGAAGAGGAGTGTTCGCCATTACAGACTTGGCAGCTGCACTGAACTACAACTCTGATACTCTGTGGGAGTCATATTATCATATAATGATGGCTGCTGCAGGGGACTCAGGGTGGGGCCAAAGGGCAGGACATTAACTCCCTGGCTCTGCCATTACCCAAACTACAAAGGATATAATAACATCATAGCACAGATTTGTGTAACACTACAATGAAAATTTTAAAACAGGGGGCCAAAACATCCTGTCAGAAATATGAAAAAGACTTCGTCTGAGATAAAATTCCGCAGTTCTCTGGGGCTGTTGTAAATTTAATTTCGATACATGAGTCATAATTCAGTAACAGTGTCATCTTAGGAAAATTAAACACAGTGAATCACCACACATTCACCTCTTCAGAAACTTAATTCGAGTTACTAAAATTTGTGGTCTCAAGTGGGTGTCTGAGTTCATAGAAATGCCACGTATCAAAAAATATATATATTTGTGAGAAATACAAAACCAATCACAATTTATGAAATGTGCAACTGAACATTTGAACAGTTATAGCTGTATTAAATCTAGATAAACTAATAGTACAATAAGTAAATTTTTTGGTTATATCATTTTTTCATTTTTTCAATCTTTAAATTTTTTTTTTGACATTTCATCATAATAATATAATTATGTATATATAATTATATATATATATATATATATATATATATATATATATATATATATAAACAATTACATCTTGTTCCAAGTACCACAAATAATAACTGTCAAATTCTGGAGGGGAAACAATACTCTGAGATCTTACCTTTTAAAACGTTTAATCTCTGTGTTTTCACACTTATTCTAATTCGGCTGTAGTTGTTCAGCGCTTTGACAGTAAAGATGGTGACACGAAACCAAACGAAAACCGCAAGCATGTTGTGTGCAGACAATGTTCTACAGCTCTAAGAAAACGAAAATTAAGGCTGCATGAGCTCATCGACAGACCAAACCTATTTGACAACATCTCGATTTTTTTTCGGCCGGATTAAGCAGAAAACCGACTTTTTGCCCTTTTGTTCCCCAATATAACTATTAAGTCATATTTATGTCCACAAACAGGTCAGTCGTTAGAGAGATCTTTATGTATTATATTGTAATTATAGTGTTCTTACGCTCCTAGTGCCTGTCTTTTTTATCTTTAAGTATGTGCATTGTAAACACACAACATACTTTAAATATGTTAACTTTTAAGCAGTCTTGTTTGACAATAGTTTAATGTTCTGGCATGTTGACCCAAAAAAAAGTAAAGTTGCTCTGACATGCGGTGGAGACGCACTTGTTCGGAGAGATTTGTTATTTGCGCAATTAGCCAATAGGCGGCGCTGCAGAGCTGCATTCTGCTCCCTGAAACTCTGGAAAAGGCAGGAACCGCAGCTGCCTCTGCCACCCCTGCACTGCACTCCATGATTCATTTTTTTAAAGGTGGTTCCTGAAGGTTTTCTATTGCAAAGCCAAATTATAAAAAATAATAATAATAATTCGGTGCACCAAAGTGGGTGCTTTGACTTCTAAAGAGCAGTGTCACTCCTTTTAAGATCTTATTTGAAACACTTGATGTTGTTTGTTAAAAATGCACATTGATTTACTCTGATATTGACACGTTATTTTAAAGACAACTTGACTGAATTTCTCAAAATTTATAGGACGACATTTTGTATGCAAGCCTATGAGAACTAATACTGTCATACCACAAAAAAGTGACAAAAAAAATCTGATCTATTCTGACTCAGACATACAGACTGCAACATGATCAGGAGATGTATCAATTTATTTCACTTTATCACTTTAATTTTAAACAATTTAAAAAGGTAAGAAAACAGAATAAAGGTGATGTAAGGAAAAATTTGTAATTGTTCGTGGCCATTGCTCTTGTCAACCCTTATGCCCGTTTTGTTCCTTTGCATATGATTTTGTTCGGGGATCTGTAGACGTTAAAATATATTAATATTATTTTTTTTATTGACATAAGTCAATTCATATTGGACTGATTATATTTTACGACAAATAGGTTAATTAGATAAGGTCAAACAAAACTGTCCAGTTTAGGCAACCTGAGTGTTGCTTTTCGTGTGGTTTGACATGAGTTCAAGAAAAATCTCAGAGGAAAAAGAACAGTTTAAAGATTAATATACCAATGAGTAAACTGTTTAGTTCTGTCACCAAGTGTTTGCATTTGTTCAGTCTGTTGCTTCTCTGTTGTGTTTTTTTTTTCAGATGCAAACCTCATATTCTTATTTTTGTTTGCCTCTTACCACATTGAAGTAAACGATTTAATGAGGCGGATCTTGCATATCTTCCATTTGGCAAAACAAGGCCTTATGACTTAACAAAAGACAAAAAAAGTGTGGGGGGGAAAGAACCCTGCACGCTTCTCAAGAATCCAAAATCACGTTTTCATAAGTGTGGAAGCGCGGAGTTGGAGGGAAAAAACCGCTCAGGGTTTCCCCCTTTGCTTCCAAACATATTTCCAAAAGAAGGTATCGGCCCTGGATAGATGTTGGATGAGAGGTGTCAGAAGACGCAGGTTGAACTGACTGAACACGCTTTTTCTACCACGGTCTGGAGTCTTAGTTGCTATCCAAACACAAATAAACATAGGGAACATTGGAGTTAATGATAGAGGAGGAGGGGGGGGGGGGGGGCGGAGGCGTGTCGGAGGGCGGGCTGAGATCTAGAAGCTGAAGCCCTAAAAAGTGAGGAGCCGCACACTTCCAGCCCCAGCTCCGGACGGGACTCCCACGCTGCTGCTGTTTTCTCCCTCCAAACCTCTCCGTCTCTTCCCCCATCGACTTTTGCACAACTTTGTTACATGTCTGCAAAAGTCCCGAGCCATATACGAGTTGGCTGCATGGTTCCATGAAAGTTTCATGGACTTGGATTTTGGAAACGTTTTAGCGACGCTTTATTGGAGCTCGACGCCTCTATAGTTTACTGTGGATTACTGACATACCGCAGGACCATTGGCAGCTATTTATTGGGGTAAGATTCTGTTTGCCAGAGTATATGTCAGTCCAGTAGAAAAAAAGGAAACCAGACTCTTTTGGCTCACTTGATACAACATTTTTTGTATTATTATTATTATGACAGGGAGCCTAACAGTTACCATTTGGCTGAACTCTGAGCCAACCAGATCAAACTTTTTGGTGAAACCGTTAACTTTTCACGAACAAAAATGAAATTCAGTCACACAAGCCTTAGATTGGTGCTTGTGATGACAGCTTGAGGTCACAGCTCACTCAGTTAAGCTTTGGCATCTCTGATCTGTGGCCACGGCGCACGACATTGTGGCCTTTGCGGTTTAAAAAAAGTCATGTAAGGGGTTCAAAACATTTGAAAACTTTCTACCAAATAAAAAAAAAAATTCAACTGGTAGGGACTTTGAGAAGAAGACCATTCGGACAAAGTAGAAATGAAGTCCAAAGGTGAGTGGGAAAACAAGCCAAACGGAGCGGTACACATGGGCAAAGAACAAGTGCCTTCACAGTGATTAATGCTGCACCTGTGCGAAATTATTTCGAACTCCATCGCAGGAATGACCACCAAAATAAATCAAAATTGGGCCAAAAACTAATTACCTGACTGGAACAAGTGGCCACCAGTCGTCTGACTGCTATAAGTACGCAAGACTTTCACATTTTGGACTCTTGAAAGTATACAGATAAGTGTTAATCTCCAATGCAACGTCTGTGAATCGTTCTCATACAGTATACTTGATTAAAGGTGTATTAAAAATGGTCGATTTGATATTTTTGTCATGCAAAAAACAACAAATATAAGCTTTATTTTTGCGTAGGCTACTTTTCATTCTTGCTCCTATCTGAGGGTCAGATCGCCGTGGCTCCGCTGGCTTGTTGCCAGTCCCACTATCACCATCTGGAGTCTTGAACTTCGACGGTGGAGTTTTCTATGTAGAATAGCACAACTTGACAGTCGCACAAAAAAACAAAAAACAAAAAAAAAACAGAGCAAGTGTAGTTGTCATCTTACTTCATGCCACATTATGATGGAAGATGGATCTTGATTTTAGACTTAAGCATATCATGCTTAAATGTAGGCTGGTGGCTGTGTAACTAAGGTTATACCACCAAAACATGGACAGATATTGTGAAAAAATAAAATCCAGCATGACATGTAATTCATCTTAGAGAAAAGCGTGAATGCCCCTAAAATTGCCTTTAAAATTAACAGATTTTTTTTTAAAGGGTTCCTTCAAACCGTTTTTTCCCCACGGTGATTACTCGGGCGTTTTGCTCTGAGACATGATTCAAACATCTACTTTCTTTACCCCTGATTGGTATGAAGTCCGTCATTTAGTGATCTGAAATGACTATTTGCAGTGATAATTAGCTCCATATGAGTTGCTCTTACATCCATTTAATACAACGTCATTTTCGATGACTAATTTGTTTTAGGCTATTTGATTGTTTTGAAGCGCATCCAACAGGTCAAACTCCGACTCAAAAATATTTTCTGATTATTTAAACTTTACAGGAGAGGCAATACGGTATAATGTTGACATTACAGATTATTCAGGTAATTTAATCAGTTCCGTCTCACTGTGGAGGCTGATGAAGTTATCATTTTCTTTCCACTCTATTTTCTTTCTGTCCAAAATTGGCTTCCAGGATTAGTATGACCATCTGAAAAGAAGAGTTGTATAAAATTATATGGGAAACATGTATGGGATTGTTCTGTTGGCACAAAAGTACTTTTATTATGGCTGGTACAGTCTAAATAATTACACCTCCTATACTTGGCATTCACAATCAGTTCTATCTGTTTTTTCCACAGGATTTCTCGCGTGTTCTCTACAGAGGTCTGAGCCCAAAATGGGGAGCAAAGCCCTGCACGCTCCGATCCCCCTGCACCCGGCCCTTCAGCTCACAAATTACTCCTTCCTGCAGGCCGTCAACACTTTCCCCGCCGACCAGCTGCAGGGGCTGTACGGCCTCAGCGCGGTGCAGACCATGCACATGAACCACTGGACTCTCGGCTATCCGCACATGCAGGGACTGAGGTCGACCATCACGGCGGCCGCCCAAGGTCTGGTTGACCCCAGGATTCCTTTCCCGGCGCTGCCCTTCACGGCGGCAGCGCAGCTCCTCCATCCCAAACAAGCCTCGGTTGCGCACGGCGTGCCCTCGCTTCACAAGGACAGGCCGAGGTTTGACTTTGCCAACCTGGCCCTGGCCGCCACGCAGGAGGACCCGCCGAAAGCCGCGGACCTGGCCAAGCTGGCGTCGGGACTCGGGGGGACCATCTCGGAGCTCAGCAAGCTCTCCCCGGACCGAAAACCCACGCGCGGCAGGCTCCCATCCAAGACCAAAAAGGAATTTATTTGCAAGTTCTGCGGCCGGCATTTCACCAAGTCCTACAACCTCCTCATTCACGAGAGGACCCACACAGATGAGCGGCCCTATACCTGTGATATTTGTCACAAGGCCTTCAGAAGACAAGACCATCTCAGAGACCACAGGTAAGCAAAGGCGGTGTAAATAAGCCCTGGGTTTTTAGAGAGGATGTATTCAGAAACGTGCCTGCAGCATTCCTTTGAGCTTTTTAAGTTGCGTCTTTCCACAATGATCTCTTCAGAATAAGCCCATAAAACGTATTCTTTATTTTACTTTAATTACGCATGGGTCTGTTCCCAGAGTTTTCTACACGAGGGCGCCAACGTTCTTTTAAGAAATAAGTTGGATTTACAGAACCTCTGGCTCTGTAAATTTAGATTTTGCCCCCCTGTGAACGTGGGTTGGTGACATTTGTAAGCAAATCCACGCATGAGCGCACATTGATCAAGTGTCATTTTCTGTTTTACAGATACATCCACTCCAAGGAAAAGCCATTCAAATGTCAAGAATGTGGAAAGGGTTTCTGTCAGTCGCGAACTCTAGCCGTCCATAAAACCTTACACATGCAGGTAAGCCAAGAGAATTGATGGTTACTTTAAGTGTACATCATACAGAACGATTATAGTGATGTTTCTACTGCATGCATGGGGATCTTAATGAATAAAAAAAGCCTATTTTAGCCTATTATCTAATAAAATCAAAAAGGGGTGGAAAAAGCTAACATATTGTGCAATTAAGATTAAAGAGCTGACTCATTTTGGATTAATGTAGATGACTGAAAGATCCAATTAACAGACTTTCTAATTAAAGGGAATAATTCTTTGCTTGCTTTAAATCTAAACAGGAGTCCCCCCACAAATGCCCCACATGCGGAAGAACCTTTAATCAAAGAAGTAACCTGAAAACTCACCTTCTCACCCATACAGACATCAAGCCCTACAGCTGTGGCCGCTGCGGAAAGGTGTTTCGGCGCAACTGTGACTTGCGACGGCACAGTTTGACACACAGCCCACATCAGGACTACTAACCTGGACAAACTAAACCAAAAAAAAAAAAAACGGACAAAATGAAGAGAGTTCATTCAGCGACTTTTTTCTTGTCCCAGAGACTCTCCAGTTGAGGATACGTTCACTGCAGCACATTTAAAGTGAGGGATTTTTTCTTTGCGCATCAAGTGGAATAACCATGACCATGTTCAAAAATTCACCACCACCTGTAAATACCAAGAGACCATGTACATATGTTCTTTTTTTTTTTTGGGACCTTGAAATGATAAAGTTGTCAAAAACTTAAGTTTAAAATATGTTAAAATGTATTTTAGAAATAAATATTTCCATGATACACTTGATTTCGCATTGTTTTTATTTAATGTTTTTCATACCAAAAGAAGGAAACGGAATGAAACGTTACGATCTAAAACCAGGATTTGGATGGAAGCACTTGCTCAACACCACATCCCTTCTCCAGAGAGAAAGCCGTAGATCTGGAGGTTTCAGGTTAATGTGCCTGTTGACATAGCCTTTCAAATGTGGTGTAACATAAAACTCCAACATCTTTTCTCTGCCTTACAACCAAAGATTCTCACAAAGTGCGAGTACCGAAAGACTCCATTTGAGTACTTCCAACTAGGGTCATTGTGAGTGATAACTGATAAGAATGATCATAGGCCTATCTAACAAAAAACAAAAACAAAAACAAAAAACATGACCATGTAACCACAAGCCTTATACATTTTTCTGGCAGCACACTGTGTTAAATGTCAATATTAATTAGCAGTTATTCCACGTAAAAGACTTGATAAACAGACCTGTCATGGACGGAGCATTGCAGTCCCATTTAACACATTTATATTACAAAACAATCACTGATAGTAATTTATTTACCAAATAAAAGAAGCAAACGTGTAAGACTTGGCCTCTTGTGGCAAGTTTTGACCACCGAACAATTATTTTAAGATCATTTGAAATATAAACATGCTTCAACCTGCAGTTGTTAGTGCGTGCATGGATAAATCAAAACTGCTTCTATTTGCCACACAACTCAAAATATGATAGGCCAATGTCGCTCCTGTTCCTGAAAAGTTATAAAAAAGGGTTTGCGTAAAGCACCGCGCTACAGGCGTGCCTGAGGGGAGCAGATTTTTGGATTTCATCCAGCTAAACTTTGACTGGCCACAGATTAACCGTCAAAGATACGGCCTGTAATAGGATCAGTTCTTGTATGTTTTATTCTTCGACAAATATAATTCAAAAGCAGGTTCAGATTCTTTGTCGTTATGCGTCTTCGAGGAAGGTTGTTTGAAGATTTCGGGAGCTGTCAATGCACTTCACAAGACGTTTTAGGAACTTTGTTTTCACCTTACACCTTAATTAATTGCTCAGAAAAGTAGCATTTATCTTTAATGGGCTCGCCAAAAATGGTCTGAGCCAAGTGGGTACGATAACAAGAGAAACACTTAAACGGTGTTCAGCAATGCCCAAAGGCCTTGAACTCATGGCCGGTTTATTGCCCACTGCCGGCAGGGATACTCCTAATAATTTCCTAAAAGGAAAAGCAACCCAGGGCAACGTCTGATCTGATTTTATTTTCACAAACAATTTTGCTGCTTTACATTCAAATACAAATAAGTTAAAAAAAGAATAACAGGCTTAATCTGCAAATGTAAAAAAATATTATTATTGGAATAATTAACAATGATAACAACAGCAAAAATCATTTATAAAAAGGCCTACCTGGCATAAGATTGTTTGACAAAGTGATTTTAAAGTTTTGAATTTGCTCTATGAACTTTCAAATAAGAATCAGAAAATGCCATTTTCCACCTTACACAAACCTGTTTGTGTGGAGCGGTGCAGGACACTTTTTTGTTGTTCCATCTGGGATTTTAACAGAAAAACAAAGGTTAAATTCAAAACTTTATCATGCTGTTTGTTCACCACAGATTTAACCTACTGCTGATGATGTTTTATTTTTTTTTTAAATTATTTAATGAAACAATCTGTAACACTTTGATTGATTTATTTTGATAATATAAACATTATCACTAGAGCTGTACTACATAAGATATTCAACCAGTTAAAAAATAAAAAAATCTTCCTTTTTAGCATATTTGGTAAAAAGACAAACAAACAAACAAAACAAAAAACTAAACTATATTAACTGCGGATTTTAAGAGGAAAAGCGTGACTTCATAGGGCATCTTGGCTCGAGCAGCAGAAAAAGGGGACTAAGTGTGAGAGCACAGTTCTAAAACCTGCACGGACGCAGACAGGCATGAATAATAAGGAATGGACAATCACGTGGCGAATGTGACCCGTGACCGGGATTCGTGGACTCGCAGGTTAACGACTCCACCTTTCCTCACGTCCTTCATGTCTCCATACAGCTCTTATGGAGGATATGCAGGTTCCATGTCAAGAAAGAGAACAAGATTCAGCAGTGACAACATTATCAACAAAAATCAAATAAAAACCATATATATTTTACACTGTATTATCATTTTGTTTGTGCAAGTGGCCGGGACTTTGATAACCAAATAAAAGAAGCAGGAAAAACCATGCAGATGAAAAACAAAATATATATAGCATGTCAGAGAGTGTCCTAAAGCCTTCTTTTGTCACTTAAGAAATGTCATGATTTTTTTTTTTACCTTTCGATATGAAAGTTCAGACAAAAATGACAGGAATAATTGGTTTTGGTTTGTACTTTAACATACTTAGTCATTTTTGCAGCCTACAGCGCGGTTTGTGAATCTCCACATAATCTCTAGGGTTTTATTTATATTTGTCAGCCTTATGGAGCCTATTTGAACAATTCAGTGAGCTCTTGGATGCAAAGGTTAATAATGTAATGTCAGGTGATCTTTATCTAAATTGAGTTCGCATCAGATCACCTGTGATAACATTCTCTGAAGAGAATGTTTTATTACCATTTAGTCTCTTTGATTAGACGCGGACTAAATGAAGACTGTCTGACTTGTGTTGCTAATTTAGTGCAATTACTTTATTTAGGATTTTTCAGTGGCTGCAAAAGAGTTGTCTATGTACAAACTCGAGAAGGTGTCTGTCATTATTATTTTATTATGTAAAAAAAATGCTTCCTCGGAAACGTTGGGCTTTGACGGATATATAACGGGAGCGCACAACTGCAAGTGTACAGACAGGAGATATAGACTTGGGTATAACAACGCTAATGATCAAAATAAGTTGCTTATCCTATTAATGAAATCCGCTGGTTAGCTTCCCCTTACATGATGTGGTGTTGTTAACCAAATGTAATAAACTATGTGCGACGAAAAGAACTTAAAATGTTTTGAACGTCAATTATTGCGTCGCGTCTGTGAGTTGAGTGGTAAAAGGCAAATTTCCTTTGGTCTAAAACGCAACACCACTGATACGGAAGCCGCGTTGGTGTTTACAGATGACGTTTAGGCTATAGCGCTTGAAAGATGTGGCTAACGTCAGTGAGCGGCCTAACTATGTTTAAATAAACGTCGTTTTGAACATAAAAAGTCTGGATAACACCGGAAGACGAGTGAGAAATGTTTTCTTATTAAACTTTGTAAAGTCGGTTTAGGAAAGCAGTTTTTAAGCCGTAGGTTAGCTTCTTTGCTATGCTGCTTAAATGAACAGAGAGCACGTCTAGCCCTTATTGCTAACTGCTCTTGAGTAAGTTAAAATTGTGACTACGCAGAAATACAGTTTCAGTAATAGTGTTGTCGATTTACGTCAGATACTTGAGAGCATTTTCATGTTTGTGACGTTCGCTATAAGTGAAGTCACATTAGCAACTATGCTACTTATGGCAGTTGGGTGTAGCCCAATTAACGACGGCCAAAAAAGTTAAATTAAATATACATTACTGTCAATAAAATAGCACTTCTTGAGCTAATATATTTTCAAAAGGAATGTTTAACCAGTTGTCCCCCATAGGCCCCTTTAAAACAAAACTTTATAGGTTAGAATCTTAGAAATGAACACAGGTGTCCAATATCATGATGATTGCTTATGCCTTGTAAGCAGCCCTGTGAGGTGACAGTGCAGCAGCTTTAATGACAAATTTAGCATCTTTAGCTAATGTGCTGTAATATATTAAAATGGAACAGCTGACATGACAACTGTCTTTTGTTTATATCTGCACTTTGATCTATAATGAATAATGAAATTGGAATTTTTCTTACATGGTTTTCTAACATTTCTACTCAAGGCACAGAGAAGATGCTGGAGTCTTATGTCACACCGCTCTTGATGAGCTATGTCAACAAGTACATCAAGAACCTGAAACCTTCAGACCTGCAGCTTTCTCTCTGGGGAGGGGATGTGGTGCTGAGCAAGTTGGACCTAAAGTTGGATGTACTGGAACAGGTATTGTATGCTCAACATAGGTTGTGTTTTATTGAACTGCATTACAACATTTTTGTGTTTTTTTTTAACTCAACATAACATATTTTCATTGTGTTTCTGAAGGTTGTTGTGACTTGATGATTTAGTGTATTAGACTACTCGAGGGTAGCAAATACATTTAAAATGTATTTATATATATATTTATACCCAAAACCAACTTAGACTGCAGGAGATTTGTTTCCTATATGGCTTTGCTTTGACCAGTAAAAATTAAGCAGTGTCATACAGTCATGGTGGTATCTTTATTGTCAGTGTGGATGTGTGTCAGTGTTTGATGAACATGTCTGTTAGATGTATACTCTTCATGGCTTAAAATTATTATTATTTTTAATTTCAGTGGATGCTGAACACTTTTAAACAACAAACTAAACCATCACCTAACCTTAGAGTTTTATGACATTTGTTCTTATCTATTATTGTTCTTATCATCAAAGGTCAGTCAGATTTAATACATGGTGTAATCATCACAAAAAGTCATAGTTTTAAGAAATACTCTTAACATAGTCTGCAGTATACAGTGCAGTGTAAGTACAGTTTTTCCTCCCTGAGGGTAGGACTTGTTACTAGCAAGGATCTGAAGATACTCAGTACTTTTCAATGTTTTTATTGAGTTGCAGTTTAAACTTAACCCAGCTGTTCAAGTGGATCCTTGAGCTGGTTCTTGTGTTGATGCAGTGGTGGAGAATTTAGTTATCAAATAAAGCCTGTGTAATAGTGCTACGCTGTCAACAGTATAAGTAAATATTATTTTTTATCATAGCTGAAAACAGAAAATCTCCATGTATTCAAGATACTTGACAGATGGTTTGATCACATTATTCTGCTTTTCTTGATTTTGATTTTAATAGATCATAGGAAAGGTAAGACTGAAAAGGCTTAAAGTGAAGTTTAATTGACTCACTTATGCTTAAGGGTATGTTTCTAGGCTTGTATGTTATTAC